GGGATCATTAAAACTTGAAAATTGTTCCACATAAATGAAATTGGTTTAACAAATACCTTCAAAAAATGCAAACCAAAATTGTTTTTATTTCTGCAGTTTGTGCATGCAGAGATGTCGCCTCTAAATGGATAAGGATAAGTGTAATAACGTAATTTTAGGCTCAAAAGTGTTATTTTTACACCAAAAGTGTAATGGTCGGCATCTCTGTACAAGGAACACAAGGTTGGTTACCATGGTTACAGCTTTCTCTGTTAACTTGCACAAGCATGCTTTCAATTGTTTCATAATAATTCCTAAATCTGTCAACATTCAACAAAATTCTGCTGAATTAGTGTATTAACTACAGAATTCATGCAAATTCAAGAAACAGTTTTCCCGGACCAAAAATTGTGTAATTCTTCAGGGTCTCACAATTAACTAACCATTGCACGGTCACACTGCCCTCGTCACAGGACATCAGTTTCATTGCATATACTTCGCCAGATTATGTCAGCAGATACCACAGCCATGCACATCAGATAGTACATTTCTGTTCCTGCATAGACAAGGGGCACTAACATTACTGACAAGTCACAACAGCACACAATCCTTGCACCAAGGTACATTCAAGTTCCAGTTTTGAATTTTCTAGTCCTAAAGGGAAATTTAATTGTTTCTCAATGCATCAGCTTTTGCACACAAAGGTAGTGATAGAGGCTAACAATTTTAGACCACACGTCCTTATAAGTATGACATTTAGCAAAACTCTTCAAAATGGCCAATTTCTACTTGTCCTTATGATACTTTTACCACTAGGCAGTTTGGCAAGGACTACTGGACTAGTGCTGATTTCTATCGCTGAAAGGTATTTAATCCCTGCATGGATCCAGCGATACACTTACACAACAAGATATCATCCTGTTAGCATCATATACAGTTGAACGCATCTTCCCGAGGCAAGCGTGTCCACTAGCCAAAATCAAAGCCTAGTTTCTACCCTTGCCACATGAAGGCCACTTTTCTTGGCTCGACCCTGGCGCCACCTTGCATAGATCACAGGTTGTGCCCCTTGTAATGAAAACTCCATATCCAATCAGATCGCTGTTATCTCGTATAGCTTCACAAAGATGGCGACTGCCATAGGTAACGACCTAGTCAATCAGATAACGAATACATTCGCAATTTTATCCCTGACACAAAAACATAGGTAATCGTTGGGGGGTTTAAAAGATGAGAAAGACATATTCGTGTCAACAAAGACAGGTAGCAGTAAATCACCTTCATACGCAGGTGTACAGTCATGGATGTTGATTTTGTGAAACGTTCTCTGATTGGACTATCCATATGTGTGATAGTCCAATCATATTTAACACAGCAAAGTGGGCTTGATGTGGCAAGGGTGGAAACAAGACTTTAATAAAAAGGCGAGTGGACGCTCAACTCAACACCTCTATCTTCTTTCATCAAACATCATTCGCCAAAGTCAGGATTTCCAGAATACTCAAAGACCCACTGTACTGAGCAGGTTTAATGTGACTAACTGATAATAAATCATAATTCATATCAACATCTCATACAATTAGCAATCTGGTTATTCAAGACAAAAAATATCAACAAAAAGGAAAATCTTATAGTATGACTAGCTCTCACACACAATGACAACGCAAGGTGGTACAATTCACTGATACAATTCACTGATACAATTCACTGATACAATTCAATGATACAATTCAATGATACAATTCACTGGTACATGTGTAATTCACATTCAGCCAACAATAACTGATTCTGGCAAGATTTCTTTCTTGCTGGGATAACTTATCCACAGATTGGAACCAACAGCAAATAGAATAGATCTTAATTACATTCTAAAAGTGACTTTATCTAACCTTATATGGATGGCTATTAGAAAAGAAAAAAATAATTGCTTCAAAACTATTAGCAAATATCCTCAATTTACACAGTATCAGAATTTTCTAGAACAACGGACCATAACTAAGTTGAGATGCATAAAAAATATTTCAGATGCACAAATATTTATTCTTACTTAAACAGCCATTCAGTTTGTAAACAATCCACCCACCACGAACACAATATGTGTGTCTGGCAGGACTCAGATCCATGAACTATTGTCTCAAAAGTTGTTTTTCCAAACATCCCTCTTCATGACAAAACAGTCTATAAAACAAGTGTGTAGTACCAGACAAGGTGTAGCAACAGTGGTAACTGAGAATGAGGTAACCACGGCAACAGAGAGACCCTGAGACCAGAGCCTACAATGCAGAAACATGAGATAAAAATCTTGAGATTATGAGACAAATTTCACTAAATAATGAAAACATAAAAGACACCAGCATAGATGTGAGAAGCTCAACCTGAGTACAGAATATTCTTGGATATTTGGGTATTGTTCCCTTGGTTACATGGAACTTAATGTTTCCGGAACACACATACACACACAGTGTGGCCGTGGAGATTGTCAGGGGTTTGTGGTATGTGTCAGAGGCAATGACTGGAACGCTCATAAAATGTCGAATGCCGTTGTGGATGGATCTAAAGCTGCAGACAGTGACGAATTCTGGACATTCATTACAGGGCCTGTCACTACCTGCTGCTGTCATGTAATTGACCCAGCGTATTGCTGTCATGTAATGGACCCAGCGTATTGCTGTTTGTGACTGTCAACCTAAAACAGTATGTTTCAAGTTAATCTGTTAATAAGGTATTGATCTTTTGAGGTTATGTACAGACTTCACGATGTAGTTGTGTAGTTGTATTTCAGTTTGGAGATCACCACATACCAAAATTCACAGAAACGTAACTGGGGCTTGGTAGAATTGTGTTTACAGTTAGACAATACCTGTGTGTGACACACTTACAGCAGTTAAACACAAGTCTAGGTGGCCGACAACCATGAATTTTCAACCAACGTTTACAGACAAGTGATGCCTGTCGTAACGCCAAATACACCCCCTAGCTTTACTGTTTGTTTGTCAGTTGGACTTTTCACTTTCTTTCACTATCATGAGTGAGTGAGTGAGTATGGTTTTACGCCGCTTTTAGCAATATTCCAGCAATATCACGGCGGGGGACACCAGAAATGGGCTTCACACATTGTACCCATGTCGGGAATCGAAGCCGGGTCTTCGGCGTGACGAGCGAACGCTTTAACCACTAGGCTACCCGACCGCCCCCCTTTCACTATCATGAATTTATAATTAGTTCAGTGAAAAGGTAGGGGGAAGGTGGGTGCTTTTCCTTCAATCTGCAATCTTGAACCAAACAAACAAACGTAAATTCAGCCTTAATCTGTTCCTAATTCACTACAATGGCTTCCCAAAGACACACACACAAAAATATATAAATGTAACTACATTTGGGATTGTAGTGGTTAAATTTCAAGATTCTTGTAATCACCACGATGGTACTGGGAGAATAACAAGGTGTTACATACCACCAAGCAGCTTGAAACATCCGGTACCAAGGGAGGTAACCGTGTGTTTACTCAATTATTACATTCGTTCCTAGATATCATACGAAAGACTATCCAACCAAGGATCTGAACAAGGATCTAAGTAAGGATATAACATGTCTAAGTAAGCAATAAAACTACCAACTATCATCTGTTTAATATGTACATTATGAAAATTTCGCATAAACTCTTTGATAGTTCAAAGCCAAGGTCAAAATAACCGATTTCCCTTAGACCATCTCGACCTCAGTTAAAACTGACAATAGGAACATGTGGATCACAACCATTGTGTAATTATCATCATCAATTATGTCACTACTTCCTGTGGTCATATAGGTAGTGAACAAGAAGGTGTTCTCACGAGATCACTCACTGGCAAAGCAAATACACTTTGACATCTTGTTATGATGATATATGAAGATTATTGCACCATGTCGCGATGTAGTCCATACAAAATACCACTGACATTCTTAAAATGTTACATGAAAACAAATTATTACAATTGATTAATACTGGTAATGAAATTATCTGTATTTCATGCATGTTATATATACAGTCAAGTCTTGTTAATCCGACACTCGTAGTCCGACAATCGGCTTTATCCGACACTAATGATTGGAACCAATTAAATCAGTGCTATTTACTTCTTTTTTTCTCACTAATTTAGACCTGCGAGCCTGACCACCCGATCCTGTTAGTAGCCTCTAATGACAAACATGGGTTGCTAAAGACCTATTCTAACCCAGATCTTCACTGGTCAGAATATTTCAGAATCATATCGTCAGTGGCAAGGTGGCGGTATATCAGTTTACTATCTGCATCCATGAGGGACTATTTCTCTCAACATGCTCATGACACCATCTGAATTACACATGGCCCTACTTCCCTATTTAACTGTAAACAATTCACCAAGGTTCTCAATCAAGCATATACATGTATCTTCAAAAAAGCCATCTTGTTTGTATTTGCCAGAGACTAAAGGGCTACCGCACCTGTCTGGCTCTGCACCAAACATCCTACACATTGATCCATACAGACACAACACAAGCATAATGAGTGAGTGAGTGAGATGAACGCAGCTTTTAACAGTATTCCAGTTACATCACAGCGTGTTAGCTTGATGTGGGAGGAAAGCCTGAGGTGATGCAGGTCTCAGACGTTTACCACTTGGGTGAAACCCACGAGCACGGGTATGGTGCTGACAAACCTAGAAACATAATCGGATTCAAACCCACAATCATAGGTTTCTGGCTCGCCCAAGGGACGCAACTCTGCACAGCAAACCCCGTGCCTTAGACGACTGGGCCACCCGTGCCCCCCACAAGCATAGTGACCAAGTATGGGTATTCAGACAAATACATAAATATCAGTTCACTTGAATAATAGAAACTCTACAATCTGCACTCTCTATCCCCTCTTTGGTTAAAAGCTGAAAGTTTGGTCTCAATTGTGTTTATCATGTAAACTAAAATAGTCATCTTTAGTAAAGGGTGGTCCTGAGCAAATGTTGAGTAGCATGTGTTGACCAAAGTAATAAAGAAAGGTAAAATACTTCAAAATGATTTATGGTGAATATTTCATATAAGGTAAGTATCTTCGCACTCAACAAGCAGCTGTAGAGTGACGGTGTCCCAGCTGACTACAACATGGTCCCTACAACGATGTCAGCATCACCTGGACTCTCCTTCAGAGTAAGGCACATGTGGTTGTAGCACAGCAAGCGTTGGAAGTCTTCATGATGGGGAAAGACAAAGTAGTTTGGCAATCTTATTTTCAATCTGAAAAAAAAAAAAAAATATTATGTTGAATGTCAGAAATTCTTCACCAGATAATATATAAAGCTTTTACCATGGTTACTGTTTTCGACATATTTCAAGTTAATCCGACAAGATTTAATTTGACGGGCATAACTAAACCTGAACCCACTGAGTTACTACATATTATCAATGTTCAGATTCCCGGAACTTGCAGTTTCTTTGAAGCAGATTCTTTAATATTATTCACCATGTTCACATTATTATTGATGTATTTTGTGTAATTATTACCAGGATTTGAAATAAAATATAAGTGAGTGAGTGAGTATGGTTTTATGCCACTTTTAGCAATATTCCAGCATTATCAGGACGGGGGACACCAGAAATGGGCTTCACACAATGTACCCATGTGGGGAATCGAACCGAGGTCTTCGCAGTGATGAGCGAACGCTTTAACCACTGGGCTATCCGACCGCCCCAAAATAAAATATAAAACAAAAAGAAGTAAGTGGACAGTGACATTTACTGGGCCTACAATGTTGTAGTTTTTACCTCACATCCCAGCAGACATATCTTGAAAAACAGATACTATTAAGACTTTTGAAAGCAAGGAGCGCTGAAATGCAAGACTACCATTATCAAGGTGTCATTTTCTTACACTGAGAGCAAATGAATAACAACTGAGGTAGTTTGTCAAGAGTCGTCTCCCTTCTCCTGGAGTTCCTTCAGCCTCATTGCCAGAGTGTCACCGAAAGTGTTCCGATACTCGGGGCTGACAGTGTCAAGCAGCTGATAGATCGTCTCGTAGTAACGTGAAGGCTCATCTTCCATGACAGTGTCAAACGATTTCCCCACAATCTGAAATTGAAACAATATTGATGCCACCATGGTTACAACACATTCAGTCCACATGGGGAGATCCAGAGGGGAGATCCAGAGGGGAGATCCAGGGGGGAGGTCCAGAGGGGAGATCCAGGGGGAGATCCAGGGGGGAGGTCCAGAGGGGAGATCCAGAGGGGGGAGATCCAGAGGGGAGATCCAGAGGGGGGAGGTCAAGAGGGGAGGTCCAGAGGGGAGATCCAGGGGGGAGATCCAGGGGGGAGGTCCAGAGGGGAGATCCAGAGGGGAGGTCCAGGGGGAGGTCCAGAGGGGAGGTCCAGGGGGGAGGTCCAGGGGGGAGGTCCAGGGGGGAGATCCAGGGGGGAGATCCAGAGAGGAGATCCAGAGGGGGGAGGTCCAGGGGGAGATCCAGAGGGGAGATCCAGAGGGGAGGTCCAGGGGGGAGATCCAGAGGGGAGATCCAGAGAGGAGGTCCAGGGGGGAGATCCAGGGGGGAGATCCAGAGGGGGGAGGTCAAGAGGGGAGGTCCAGGGGGGAGATCCAGAGGGGAGGTCCAGGGGGGAGGTCCAGGGGGGAGGTCCAGAGGGGAGATCCAGGGGGGGAGGTCCAGAGAGGAGGTCCAGGGGGGAGGTCCAGGGGGGAGGTCCAGAGGGGAGGTCCAGAGAGGTCCCAATTCCCCCCTCACCATCGCATAACAAACACACACTTTTGAAAAACAAATGTAGTATGTTGTAAGCAGTAAAATCACCTGAAAGAGGATTTTGATATTTTGGACTCCTCCCTTTTAAAAATGCTGGAACCGCCCTTGTACATTGTGTAAGACTTTGGTATCTCAAAAAGTAATTAATAAGTAGACAGTACATTTACCACAGCAGTGTAGTCCTTTTACAACAAAATCTTCCTATTTCAGATAAAACAACTTGACAAAGATGATAAACTGACAGTGTTCCTAGGGCTTGGTTTATTATGTATCATAAAGACAAGCAAACACATTTTTCTTTTTCCTTTCTCAACTTATTTTGCTGTTGACAGGAACATTTGAAGCAGGTCAACACTGGAAGCAAAGAAACTCTTTGACGTTTCATTCCCCCTTTTTACAACCAAACACAGACATAGAAAAAGACATTTTTTTAAATAAATCCAAGGCAAAATTAAATTCAAGAACAAAATGTTTCTTCCATTCTAACATTGACACTATGTGTTTGAGAAGAAATCTGCAAACCATATGACAAACAATATTGGACAAACTCTAACATAATAAACTCATTATAGTATTTGATAACCCAATCTCTCTGTGCAACTCAGTTAAGTCAAGTACATGTGTTTTTTTAAAGGGTTGTTGTCAAAATGGCCACAAACACATTGGTCAAAATGGCTACAAACCCCCTATCTAACATGTCTAATGGCCACATTAAAAAGTTAAAATGGTTTGACTAAAAATAAAAATGGAAACATTTAAAATAAAAGAAATATTTTGTATGTTTTATATCTTTATTCTTTTCAAAACAGATATTTAACAGTATCAGTTTCTGGCATCAGTCTCCCACAGCAGTAGATCATGTTGATACAAAGCAGTAGCTCACTGAGAGTCTGGCAGCACAAACAGATCTTTGTGTTAGAGGTCAGTTTACTGGTAGTCAGTTTCACTAACAAGCAAACTTTATTGTAATCCTTTGGAATAATGAAATGAATAGAGCAAATATAAAGTAGAAACTGGTAACAAATATTCATACTTTTTCATGTGGCCATTTTGGCTTTTGGTTTCTTGCCATTTTGACTTATTAACGTGTCCATTTTGACCGGGGTATTTCTGACTTTTTGGTGTGTCCATTGGAGCACCTTTAGAATACAGTACCACAACATCTTGTGAGGACGATCTCTGCAGTAGGTCACATGTCTCAAAGACAAGCAATCCATTTTGTTTATTTGTTGTTTAACGCAGCACTCAGCAATATTCCATCTATATGACAGCAGTCTGTAAATAATCAAGTCTGGACAAAACAATCCAGGGATTGACATCATGTCAATGACATGTATCAACCAAGTCAGTGAGCCTGACCACCGAATCCTGTTAGTCGCCTGTTATGACAAGCATAGTTGCCTTTTACAGCAAGCATGGGTTGCTGAAGACCTATTCTACCCCGGATCTTCACGGGTTGTGACAATCCATCGGAAGTGAACTCATGACGTTTGGATCGACTGAGCTACATCCACACTTGTCATGCCTGAGACGCTACGGAACTGAAGGGAACGGGTGGAATAGGTGATGGACACATACACAGGTTACAAGCAGGCATGGCATCTTTCGACTTTTGTCTACAGACATTTACAAGTGATCCCCATGCCATTTGGTATACTTGAGCCATTCCATAATCTACAAGATACCAAGTGGTGAAGCCCGAGTCGATATATAGCGCTAAGGGCTCCTGGCGTCAGACATTGAATTCACAGCTATGCATGAATGACTGGGTTTTAATAATTTGTTGGGTGATTTTATCTCAGAAAAGTCTGTGTTTTTTTTGTGGTGGGGGAAACACTGTAAGGATAACATGGATCCTAGTAAGGAACTAGGAAGGTACAGCATGGCTAGTGACGCCACGAGGGTGAGTCGGCTTTTGAATCATTACCAGTTTAGGGAGTGAAAGTGGCTTGGTCGGAAATTCCATGACAGTTTCCTGTAGCGAAAACACTTGACATGAAACTAGTTCATCCTGCTAACTCGACATTTTTGTGAAATGGATAAATTTAAACATGTTAAAAATCTGAAAATGAATACCCTGACAGTGACAAGAGCATTTATTTGCACGCTTCCAGTCTTTGGCTCTCCTGCTTGAAAATGCATTGGATGGGGGTACAGCCCCTCCACAGCCCGTAGAGCCTTGCATCCATCCTTGTCATTCTTGTCAATACAAATCTAATTGATTTATTGCAAAAGAGGTCCTATATGGTCATGATGGTAGAAAGGTGGCGTTCGGACCAGCAATATTTAGATGTGTGCAACATCAATAAATAAATACCTGATCAATAGCATTCCAGTTCATAATAATGAAACGTACCTGGTGTACATATCTGTCGTACCCATGACGACAACAGCGTTAGTAGGATGTATTTTATAGTCAGAGGAATATAGATTCAATCAATAATGAATAAATGCAATTTTGTCATATTTACACTTCTTTTACTTTGTCCATATTCACAGAATAGAAGTGAGCATATATTATTACTCTCTAATGGACATGACAATCTTGCTTTATGTCTAAATCAACTAAATACAGGGTGCAGTGATTCTGTTTACTTCGAACCCTCATTTAGAGTTATCTCCCTTGTGGTGTTTATCACACTTATTCACTCAAATTAGGACAGGTTGCTGAATAACAAATATATTACATCCCTGCACTGTTTGCAACATCATCCTGTGGTTGATGACAATAATAAGTTGCAGTGCGTACATTTTAGTCTTCTTTGGGTCGTGTAAAGCGTAAATACAAAGCCAAATTAATTCTAAAAACAGTGCCAAAACTTTTATACACACCCGGAAACCGCTGATTGAAAGTTCTACACAATACAGTACATCTTCCTTTGTCCTGAGATTCAGGTAGACCAGTTCTGCAGTAACTGGGAGAGACTTGGACATTTCAACAGACTTGACAGCAAATGCTACTTCTCTCACGGCCTCCTGGGCCTCGATCTTCAAAATATGATCTTCGTTACTCACTGGAGAATCCGCCATCGTGCCTTTCACAGCAATCGGAGGGTATCGGTGTTTTCCGGCATCATTCGATTTTTGTGATAATACTTCGCGACGCAAACGAAGGTTGCGATTGCACGAACAAGCTCCTTACAGCGATAGCGCGTTCGCGGAGCTCTCTATACTGTCCCTGCGGCCAGAAACCCATGTACACATCCCACCCCATCGCCATAGGGCTGGGACGGGTAACTCGGGTACTCGAGTCGGGCGGGTACTGAGTAGGACCCGGATTTTCCCAATCGGACAGTTTGTACCGATCTCTTGATATCTACAGCGGGTACCCGGGTAGGGTCGGGTAATAGGGTGGTGGGTACCCGGGGGGTAAAATTGGACTCGTCCCAGCCCTACAATACCACCACAAATACACAGACACAGACACATAGTAACACCACCACCACCACCAACAACAACAACAACAACAACAACAACAACACAACAAGACAGAGTGTTGTTCTTGCATTTGTGACGAGGTATACAGATTCAAGGTATTACTCAAGGATTTAAAGGATTTAGTTAGTTATTACAATTTGGTAGATCCTCTTCGACTGGAATTAATTAGAATTCTTAAATCTAGTTTTAAAATTAAACAAAAGGTTTAGCAGGGATTATAAGAAAAGCGAAATAGAAATAAGCCCCCGCAATCTGTATACACGTCCTTCTGTGAATTCCTTTAATGACTGACGCAACTTGTGTTATCGTGTACAGTGAAGTGTGTATTGCTACATACGGTCAAGTCTATTGTCGTGTACAGTGAAGTGTGTATTGCTACATACGGTCAAGTCTATTGTCGTGTACAGTGAAGTGTGTATTGCTACATACGGTCAAGTCTATTGTCGTGTACAGTGAAGTTTGTATTGCTACATACGATCACGTCAGTTGTGTAAAGTGAAGTTTGTTTGTTTGTTGTTTAACGTCGCACTCAGCAATAATCCAGCTATATGACGGCGGTCTGTAAATAACCGACTCTCGACCAGACAATCAAGTGATTGACATCATGAGCATCGATCCACGCAATTTTGAGTGAAGTTTGTATAGCTACATACGATCACGTCTGTTGTCTACCGGACAACCGTATGTCCGCTTAGGTCACGTGCTTGTAGATGAGTCAGCAATCACAATGGAATGTATGAAACACACTGTCTGACGTTGTCACCTTCCAGAGTGTTGTATGGTTGCCACGCCACTGATGACGTATGACGTTGATAGACGTTCACGAGTTCGGGGATCAGATGTATGGAATCCAACGTGCGGTCAAAATTTGGAGCACAAAAACATGTTAATAATAAAAGGACATTATATTTGCTAAAGGTTGTATTTTAATTGCTCTATTGCGTCGTTTATTTCTTGACACATTTATGTCGGGTTTTTAACTTCCATGTCAAGACATGACTAATTCATCCAACCGTTTCATCCAGAGTACTGTAAGTTTATCGTTGCAGATCTCATACAGCTGACCGAATTATTACACTGTAATAAGGCTTACGGATATAGTGACACCCAGGCTTAGCTAAACACAGCCATAGGTTCAAAACAGTGAACTATGGCCCGGCGTATGAATACTTATTAGAGAGCGCTGAGTAAGTTTCTGTTTGAAACGTCCGCCGTCACCATGAAGTCCCCACATTCCCCACACGGGTACGATGTGTGCAGAGCCTTTCTGGCGTTCCCCGCTTTGATATTGCTAGAATATTGCTAAAAGCGGCGTAAAACTATACTCACTCGTTTATTTCGTACATTATAATATCGATTATTTGTTTTCTGCTATCGATAATGATAATCTAACAGCTAGTCTAGAGTATTTATGCCTATAAGCAAGTTCAGCAGATGTGTGATATAATACTGTACTATTATGTACTATTTATTGAATACAACACCCCACACGACAGGTGGAAGTTTGTGTGTAACCCCGTCATTGCTCTTCTGTGTACAAGTGTATTCTGCAGAGAGAGAGAGAGAGAGAGAGAGAGGGGGGGGGTACTTATGTAACTGGAGGAACAAACATGCTGATTCAGCAGCTTGGTGCCGGTGGGCGTGCACCGGGAGTGGGCCTTCACAGTGGGCGTGTACTGTGGGCGTGTACTGTGGGCGTGTACTGTGGGCGTGTACTGTGGGCGTGCACAGTGGGCGTGTACTGTGGGCGTGTACTGTGGGTGTATGCAGTGTGTGGAAACACCTGGGTATCATGCTCAACTGAGGCCACGAAATAGGAAAGCTGAATTACTGTCCGTGTCGGTATTGTCAGAACCAGTGAAAGCTGAATAAATATAATATAACGGCTGCAATTTTTATGGTGATATGAATGAATAAAAATAAACAAAGGTTACTACAATCTGAGTGCAAAAGGGGCGATGGGATGGCTTGGTTACATTATAGCTTTCAGGGTCTCTCCCTAAACACAGACTTTGCAGCACTCGATATTGGCACACACACAAACACACACACACACACACACACACACACACACTGTACTACCCCTCTATTATGTACTTCATTGTAAGTGCTGTGCATTAATTGTATTGATTTGTAAACCTAGTTAATTGTGTAATACAATTTTGGATGGTATACCATTTGTTGGTTGGATGTTGTTTTCACGCTTAATTTGTTTACGTACAGTTTTCTGGGTTAACAAATTGTTTCAATTTGAGAATCGACACGTGACAATTGTCTCCATCTCTAGCATGAAGGGTACCACATTGTCTTTGCATATCATCATCAGAAACGTAAACGAAACATGTGGTACTGAAACATCTTTTCAAAGGAAAATCAATAATATTACGTTTGAGATTGAATGGTTACCTTTTTCATTTGTACACAGTTATAATGTTTAATGTGTTTGAAGCTCTCATAAAATTTCTACATGTTTTTACCTTGCCTGTATTTGTTCTGCTGGAAACACCCACCGATGCAGGTGTGTGTCAAAATATATCGTATCTATACTGAACCGCAAAAGAAAAGTCACCATGGATAGATATATGAGAAACATTATTCGTCTAAACACTGTAAACATACTTTGAGACATATTAAAAAGATGAAACTTGGCAAAACTGATCAACGCGGTTGAAATTAAAGTGTCAAATGTGCTTAAGGTGAAACACAACACTAGTCTCTGAGAAAATGCCATCACAAGTCAGTATCTCGTGTGTCCGCCATGTGCATTGATGCCTGCCGTGCAACGTCGATACATGGAATGGATGAGGCGGTTGATGAAGGCCATAGGCACTTGAGCCCACACTCTGAGGAACGCCTGACGCACTTCTGATGCCATTCTGCTGGAGGAAGTCTCTTGTTGCTCTCGCAGTGTGGGCACGGCGTTATCACGCTGAAACACGTGGTTGCGGCGACGTGCCAAATGAGGTATGGCGTGTGGTCTCAAGACTTGATCAATGTACCGAGCCGCTGTGACACCATTTGCCTCACCCTGGACCGATATTCTGGAAGACCACAGGGCCGACCCTCTGTGCAAGACCAATTTCACCCCACACCATGATGCTCGGGCCACCCCACGAGTCTCTCTCAACAACACAAGCATCCGAATAACGTTTCCCACGGCGTCGCCAGACTCCCTCTCTGCCATCTGCTGTCGAGATACAGTAACGGCTCTCGTGTGAGAAGAGGACTTTTCTGCTGGTGGCGCTGTGTTGCCCACTGAAGACGGTCCCGGCGATGACGTGGTGTCAGAATGGGTCCTCGGTGTGGCCTGTGACAGTGGAGGTGTCTGCTCGTCAATCGTCGACGCACGGTGTCCGCACTAATGTGTCGCCAGTGTGTCCCCATGGTCTGTCGAGCAGTTTCCGCAGCAGTAACAAAGCGCCCAATCGGACGATCCTGACGTCGGATGGTGACCCTTGGTCTTCCACTACGTGGTCGGTCATCTGTAGTGGTGGTGGTCTGGTGCCGTTGCTGGAGCCTGTATATGGTCCTTACGTGGACTTGAAACACATTGGCTACTTGCCGGGCGGTTTGTCCAGCGTGCAAGGGCTTGGTGTCGCTGATTTCTTGTTAGTCTTGGCATGTGGTAGCAATTCAATAACGAATGAATGTTATCCGATCTGGGTGGATTTTTATAGGGCAAGAAAAGGGGGAACGCATGTGCATTTCAATTTGCACGGAACTCACGTGCATCGGGTTACCATGGCCGTTGCCATGATGCGTTTGAGCGTTCGGTTTTTATTGTCTTCTGCTTTTTTTTTTTTTTATCAAATTACCTTTTTTCCGGAAAAGGTAATGTCAAAAGTTAGAAACTTTGACAAAAATTACCCCGATATTTAAATGGCAACTTTTCATGCAATGTTACTTGGTGTGACGTTTCTTTTTGCGGTTCAGTATATATATATATATATATATATATATATATATATATATATATATATATATATATATTGTAAATAGAAAGTATACTGACAGCATAGGCGGATCCATAGGGCGGTCCAGGGGGCCGCCCCCCCCCCCCCCCCCCCCTTTGAAAACCAACTGTAGGATGTTGTAGGCAGTACACTTATGTGAGAGAGAATTTTGATATTTTGGACCCTTTCAAAAATGCTGCATCCGTCCTTGGACATTGTCCTGGTGGAAAAAACACAGATTTAGAGGGTTTCCAACGATGTATAGCCTTGATATTCCCACGCAGATGCCTGATTTGCATAATATTGGCCATTAACGGTGTGACTTTTCGAGAGGTATCAAACGGTCTGATCTTGGAATCTGAAGCCATCACCTTGATCGAATAAACTTTGCCTTCTTTGGAGGAGACGTTAGATGTTTCCACTGTCTTGACTGATGGTTGTTCTCCGGCTGATGGTGGAGAACCCAAAACTCATGGTTACAAATCTCTCAACAAAATCAGCTGGGTCAAAACGAAGTAAATTCCCACGACAGATGGTGAACCTGGAGCGTTTCTGATCAGGATTCAGAAGCCTTGGAGCTCAGCGTGCTGAAACCTTTGTCCTGCCGAGTTCATTACTTCAGAATGTTCTCAACGTTGCAAGGGAGATGCCGACTGTGTTGGCTATGTGACGCGTGGTGCGTCATCGGTCATCCATAATCATGTCATGTATTTATACAAGTGTTTT